TCTTCTCCTCCTCCTCCCCCTTCCTCCTCCTCCCCCTCTTCCTCCTCATCTTCTTCGCCTCCTCCTCCTCCTTCCCCTCTTCCTCCTCGTCTTCTCCCTTCCTCCACCCCTTCCTGTTCTTCTTCTTCTTCGCCTCCGCCTCCTCCCCCTTCCTTTCCTGTTCTTCTCCTCCTTTTCTTCTCCTCCTCCTCCCCCTTCCTCCTCCTCCCCCTCTTCCTCCTCATCTTCTCTCTTCTTCTTCTTCCTCCTCCTCCTCCTCCTTTTTCTTCAAAGAAAAAACAGAAAGTCTCAGTTTGCCTCTTGAAATTAAAAAAAAGCAGCTTTGTGACACCACCTGTAGGTTTGAGGGTGTTACATTCTTTTTGGCCCCAAATGCATGTAATAATTTTGAGTCACACTTTTTCTGGGCCAGGTATGTGGACACGTGGGGCATCATAGCTTCAGGAATTTCTGGGTGTGTCTGTCTGTCTGTCTGGATTTCTTTGGGTCAGGGGTCTCGTTTGAAGAGAGAAACACATTTTGTGTGTGTGTGTGTGCGTGTGTGCGTGTGTCCCATCCCTCCAGCTTAATCCCTTGAGCCAGGAGAATGTCACCTCAAAATGTTCTTCCATTTTATGCCAGTACATGGGCCAGTAACATCGTTATCTCCTTCGGGGCCATCACAAGTAATGGTGGCCCCCATCATCCTTCTCCACAGCTGGGCTTACTTCGGTTGCTGTTGCAGCTCAATTCGTTTTCAAGACCCACCAGCCGTCTCCCCCAACCCAAGACAGACTTTGAAAGAGACACAAACATGTCCTTTCTGTCAAAGATGTTTCAGGGTTTGAGATCTGGTGGGTGTTCTGGCCTAGGCTTCCCAAAAGCACGAAGCCGACTCCTCGTCCTGATAAAACCCCTTTTATTTAGGTTAAAAGGAATTCCTCTCCAGCAAAGTCCCGGCCAACAGTCTTTCATGAGATTTCACAACTGCAGGCCTTTATCAGGCTTGGAGAGTTGCCAGGCTGATATCTTCCAAACGCCACGCTGTAGCAGCAATTACTTAGCAAGAAGTCAGGCACAGATCTTCACTCTCATGAATTGAACTAATTGTCTCCTGCAAACCCCACTCCCCTTTCCCTCCTCTTTATTCCCTATGGGAGGGGCCATTCATCGTCCCACCTGTGCCTTTACTCCCAAGTTGACACTTGTTCCTTAGCTGTTCCTTCGCCTGACAGCTTTGTGCATGCGCACACTGGGAACAGGCTCCAGCTGTTCTTCTTCCCCACTGATCTCCCACTGCGAAAGCAGCTGATAACTGTCGGACAGCCCCAGCCCCATCTCTGCCTCTGACGCAGAGCTGTCCCCCGAACCTTCCCCAGACTCCAGGACTGGCCCATGTTCCTCCCCAACCTCCTCAATGTCCGAGCCTGCTGCCAGCTCCTCTGGCCACTGGTGGGCCACAACAGTGGGCTTTGGAGGGTTCTTGGACACTTCCCCTCAGTGTGGTTTTTAATTCTTCTTTCCCAACTAGGATTTTTTACGGAAGGAGTTTAGTGAAGAAAACATTCTGTTTTGGCAAGCCTGCGACTATTTCAATCACATACCTGCTCACGACAAAAAGGAGGTAAGGATGTTGAACACCTTTCCTCCCCTCCCCCTGCTGCCCTTAATTTCTATTTATTTTGAAACAATAAATTCAGGCTGTTCAAACTCTTTGGAAAAGGTCTGAAGTGGAGTGGAGGAGAAGCAGGGAGAAGAAAGGAGTCATTGTCCTGGGAAGGAGAAGATAGGTAGTCCTTGACTTACAACATGTGATGACTGCGTGACACAAAAATAACAAAGTCACAAAAGTAGAATAAATTCCCTTTAATGCCTCCAAGTTGGCCCCAATGTCCAATTATCCTCGGCTGGATATCAAACTCTTAAAGAAAACAGTTTATGGAGGGAGTAAATGCAGTCTGCACCCAAAGTAAAGTTAATTTGAAATAAAAACCCCAACACAAACCACACTGAAATAATTAACACGGCAGGCCAGGATAACACAGCAACCACAGTTGGGAGGACACCAAAGCCTTAACAAAGATAATGCACGCTTTGCTTCCAGCAAGGAGCTGTGTGCAAACGCCCCACTTATATCCTATTCTCCCAGCT